AACGCAGCGGATTAATAAGTGCGATATATCTAGAGGAAAAGAAAGATTAAAAAAGCGTACGTTAAAATAACACAGAGTAAAATAATAGATAAATATACGTTATTATTCGTTACATATGAAAGGAGAAAATATTGCGTCGATTCGCGCAAACCGTCAATTACTCATCGGTAATTCACTCTGCAAAGAGTCCGGCGCAGTTAAGCGCAAGGGTGCTCTTATGAAATGGCTCGCTCGTAATTAATTGGCGTAACTTGATCCAGCGATTGCATAAATCACGGCAAATCAAACTTGGAATATATACATATGTGATCGTAATTTAGTATCTCGACTCGCGGACGAATCCAATCCTCGGAATCGCCGTTCTGGTTAGCGCGGTGTCACGAGGAGTGTGCGGGAGTCTGGATAGGGTTGCGGTTTCGGAAGATCGTCGTATATAGCGGTCCCCGACCTTAACCCGAAGCACGCGTTGCATTAATGCGCACGCGAGGGGGCGGCAGAATGCATACGCCTACCCATTGTGGCCGTCCGAAGATGGATAGCATGTGTGCGTAGTTAGCCGCACATACTATTGGCCACGAGGGAAGAACGCGTCCGTAAATTATGATTTCTTAACGCGCTATCCCTAATGAATTTAGCGTGACGAATATCATTGTTATGACGAATATTATTTCCTTCTTTTAACAGTGAAATAGAATAAGGCTGCTTTTCCGTTGCTTCTAAATCAATCGGAATATTGATACAAAATTTCTTTTGTCATCGATTCTGCAGCGTTTATAATGTTATGAGATAAAGGAAAAACGTGTGCACAGACCCGATCCGATTGACTTTCGTTTCACGTCGATACAATATATCTTTGTGCGAAAGCAGCCTGTAAATCGCATGCCACTTGTCTATTATGACACACTACTTGTGTGTATACGAGTATAACAAAGGTATAAGAAATTGCTACAACACACTGTAACATCGTTGCCGCTCAATAAATGGCTAAAAGTTTGATTCGATAAAAGTTTTTCTTGGGTAAAAGAAAAATATACTGGCTTTCTAAAAGTTTTTTCCTTTGATAGAAAAATCTGTCAACAGGCCGGTGTCCTTTGCTTTCGATTATCAAATGTAAAGTTACATAAAGTTTCTAACAAATTTGTCTTTCTTCTGTTATAATTGCCTTATTTTTTATGTTTTTATTTTGTACAAATATTAATTTACAATTCATACTTTTGAACGATTCGATATTTTAAAGTAAAGCTTGTATACAGACAAGCCTTTTCATTTCTTATTATTAATTCTAATACTCGCGTTGTAAGATAAGATACTTGGACAAAGCAAAAATTATCTAATTAATCGAACTATATTTCTCTCTCTCTCTTTTTCTCTTTCTCTCTTTATACAAGTTAAATACTTTACATGCGTACAAAGGCGAAATATTTAATAAATATATTCATATTTTTAGACATAATTTTTTCCAGATATATAACTTAAACGATTTTTATTAACAGCCTACGTTAACACAATCATGGCCGATGACCCCATTTTTTTTCTTCTGCATCGCTCTCATCGTTCGCTTTGACGTGGAAAGGGTTCGATTATAGCATTAAGGTAGTAGCTTAACGCCCCGGATGGCGGAAAACGCGAGAATTATGGCTCGTTAAGTATTACGATACACAGTACACAGGGAGTACAAGAACGGGAAGTTAAGTAATAACGTTCCGAGCATTCGTTGTAAAACTAGCTTCGTGAAACAATGCGACGCATTTTTCCTCTAGAGATTTTTCGACTAACTTGGAAACTATGTTACCACGTCCTACATAATGCTATTATGGCAGAGAGTTTGTATCTTAGCACGATATTAAATAAGTAAATATAAATAAATCGAGTAGAGTCGCCATCGTTTAGAAATTAGAAAATCGCTGGTAATAGTATATTAATAAAAAATGAGGTACTTGAAATTCATTTGCCGTAAATTAATATCGCACCAAAGTTGACATTTACTATACATCGCAAAATTAATAACATAATGTAAATTACATTTTGATTGATCATACAATCGGTATTATTCCCCATTACTAGTTATTACGCGATATTAATAACAATAAATACTAGTATATTTTACTAATAGACGTGCGTCAAGTTATATAATCTATATTTAATTTGCAACTTTATTTTTGATAATCTGCATAATATTAAAGTATGATTTTTGTTCTAAATTAAAGAGAAATATATATATATATATATATATATATATATATATTTCTTTGCTTCAGTGTGTATTTTATTATTAAATTTATTAGATTATGATGTACGGGGCGTATTTTAATCTTACGAAATAATATTTTGATATATTTAAAAATATGTAAAGAATCTTCCTTCCCCCTCCCCCTCTTTCTTTCATTCATTCTTGGCTCGCTCAGATACTTATTAATAATATTAGATTGCTTTTTTTATTCCTGATAGTTCATTATTAAAAATGTTTGACAACAATATTAAAATATAAATTTTATTAAAAATTAATTTAAATATTGAATAAAATATCTTACTTTATTTGATAATTATTTATTTTATTTTTAGATATTATAAACAATATGAAAATACAATATAGCTAAAATTCGCGGTAGGCGAATGACTTTTTTGAAAAGTTACGGCGCAGGAGGACGAAAATCAGCGGGCATTTTCAACGATATTGGCGTAATTCAACGCGACGAGTGTAATAAAATAGACGGTCGTTGAACGTGAGATGAAATTTAATTTTTCGGGAAATGTCGTCGTCCTCTTCGTCGAGTATATCCTTCATTACATCGCGTTTCCCGTGAGTCGCGGGATACGCGCTGTAAAAGGAGGACCGCTATCGCGCGGAAACTCTCGAAAATCTCGGCGAGAAGAAGGAGAATGAGACGCCGTCGGGCCCGACGAGAGCGAACGGATACTTTCATCGTGCCGGGCACGCTGAATTTCTCGTTTGTGCAATTCAGCCGCGTAATCTAATGAGCAAATGCCGCGGACTTACTGCGCGCGCGCGTACCGGAAATTGAAGTATACATTATAAAACGTGCTACCGTGGTGGCACCGACGGTGGTGCGCTTCCCATTCGCAAAACTAGGTCGCGCATGCCGCGCACAGGCCTTATCCCCGCGAATTCGCGAACTTCGCACCCAAATGTGAGTTGCAGTTTTCTGATTCGCGGCCAACTATTCCGTCTCGCCTGCTGGAGCGATGAATATTTAGCGACAAGTACGTGACTCCGTTGAAAATATCCGAGCGGAGCGAAAGGGTCGACGGTTTCCAGAAGGAGCCCCGGCGCCTTCCTTCGTGCAACGTGACTCGCTACCGGGAGAATATGATTTATCGAGTTTGCGAGATATTTCCAGACATATCTTTCTCCGCATTTTGATCGTACAATACGTTTCTCCGATAATAATTTTTCGCATAAATCGCGCGCTTTGCAATAACAGCGCAGCGGTGGATTAAAAACGCTTACAGTTATATCATGTAATACGCAAGATACAAATGAAATATAGAGTTACATTCTCGCATACACGCTGCGATAATTTTAATTTAAATTTACTCAGCTCCCTGTATAATGCCTTCGAAGAGATTGCAGTGATATTATTATTGTTATTTTTGTCTGCTTATCATGCGCGATTTACGTACCGCATTTACGAGAGCACGTAGTTTTATCTTCGCAATTACAACTTTCGCAAGATTCGTCTCAATTACCGAACATCGTAGTCGTAAAACGCATCTTCGCGAAAAACTTGATCGTCAAAATTAAATACGACTCTTAAATTCTATCGGTTCCTGCCGAGACCATCGAGCTTACAAGATTGTCCATCAGGTTAAAAATATTCCATTTATTTACTCCGATTAATGCGATGAGTTCGTAGCCGATTTTTCTTGACCATTCCAAATGAAATTTCGCTCAACTTAACTGGTCAAATTTTGTAGAATTTACATGGATAATTAATCTTTCATATAGTAGGAGGGGGATTAATTAACTCGTGCAAATTTATCCGTGGCCAAAGAGAAGCTTCGGGAATCCTTCGACTCGCATTACCATGGATACCTGAGAATGTATGCATGCACAATTTGGAACTAGTCATATTGTCGAAATTCTATGGGGATTTTGTAGAAAATATACATTAAATACAGAAACAGATTGTAAAATTATAATGTAAATGACATATTTTTGAACATATTTTATATCGAGCAATCGAAAATAAAACAAAAAATAAAACATAAATAAAACTTATAACAAAAAACTAACACGCTTATTCAATTTATTGGACATTGTGCATTAATTAAATTAAACAAATTTTTGACCGCAGAGACCCTCTTGCACACATACACACACACACACACACACACACACACACACATCATACTATATAAAATTTTATCATAAATTATTTTTATTTATTACACAAGATGTAGTTGTACTATTTATGTGCGTGCTGTAGTTTGAACGCAGCGATAATATAAACGTCAAAGCGAACGTTAAGCACGCGCGTATATCGATTTTATAATTATATTACTTGAACAGAGGAACGAAAATTGAAAATTACGCGACCATTTATTTTGCATAATGGGGATTGGTCGGAGGAACACTCATCGCGTTTATTAAGCAGGAAAATTGTACTTATAATTAGATCCGAATTAATAGCGCCTCAGATTAGCCATTTTATATTATTTTATATATTATTATTAATTTTCATATTTCTCTCTTATCTATAATAGATATCTTGATATCTAGATATCTAGATACTCATGCAGGACATATACATATAAAGCGATCGTTATACGATAAACATCTATCTTTTTGTTTTTTAAGCATTGATCTTATAATTAAAGATTTTTTAAATGAATATTTCTATTAAAATTTTCAGATAGACAGAGCTTTATCAGAAATTTTATTTTGATAAAATTTTAAAAAATATTCAACTTATTATGGAATATAACATCATATCTAAAAGAGAATTCAAAATATAATTCTTTTAATTTTATGTGTGTAGGAGTGGACAGACTACAACCTTCAGTGGAACGAGACTGAGTACGGCGGAGTGAAAGACCTTCGAATTACGCCGAACAAGCTTTGGAAACCGGATATCCTCATGTACAACAGGTAATCTGGCCTCGTTACATCTGCGTAGCGACTCTCATTTTGTATTGACAAGTCAGTAGTCTCGACTAATAACATTTGTCAGGAGTATTTCAGTTTCGCGCGCGCGAGAGGAGGGGCGTCAGTCTCGTAATAGAATTTTTAATTAACGCGGGTGGATAAAACGACGCGCTTGTAATCATCGTGTTAATAAAGTATCCCTAATAAAAAGACCCGTAAAATACGCGTAAACTGATTTTCCACGTGTTGAAATTTCGCCACTTAAGATAATTTTGTGCGATTACGTTTGATTTGCGTGAAAATATTTAAACTGATAAAATCGAGACAACTTTTAATCAATAATAATATAAAAAAACTTCTTTTTCGCATCAAATATCCGAGAAGATGATAGTCGAAAAACTATCAAGATATAAATAAATACATTTAATGACATCGCGTTACGTCGAATTCTCACTCGTTAGCGCAATTCGTCGTGATTTATTAATTTAGCCATAATTGCAAATGAAGATAGGCCACGGGACTTCCAGTACCTCGATCACGATTCCGGGCTGTCAATATTTCAAGTGTGACTATTTACCATTTTCGCGGAAACGTTGAAAAGCTCCACATCCGTGCAAACAAATTTACATCGACTTGTAAATAACGTATTACGAGGAAATCGCGAAAACGTGATTGAGAAACGCGATCGTAGAGAATGTGCGGTTTAATTATAAAAAAATAAAATACGCGAATTTTATTTGCGTTCCAAATGTGCATCACATACGTTAAGTTCTTCTGCCAGACTTAACGACTACTTATTCGGAAGGTACAACCCCCGTACGTCTCCTGTGAGGGAAAAAGAAAGAGAATTAAGATTTTTAAGAATGTTTTTTTCAGAAAAGCTGCGAGACGGCTAAGAAATAGCGCGGCAATAGCGCCACTGCAGCAAAAGTTTTTTCATTAACTTTAAGTTCGCTCCCTCCGGAGAGAGAGACTCCGTTCGGAGCGTAAATTATTTTCGATGTACCTCGTACTCTTCTCACGTGCCGTTACAGTATTACAAATGTAGTATAAAAAAAAAAGAAAAGAATCGAAGGGTACGTAACTTTTATTCTAGTGTTGCTTCGCATCTCTTATTTGAAAGTATTATATATATTATATATACATATATATTTTTTTATTGAAATCCCCTAAAGTGCATGCGTTTACTTGAATCCTAGTAAGAGCCGAGTATATATATTATATATTTATATACTTGTACTCTATGTATATCTCTACATTTTTCATTTGTAAATATTGTATCCACGTAATTATTGATCCCGATCGTAGAAATCTCTCTTATTAGATCGGATCGACTCGTTTCTCGCTTTTGTATCGACTACGTACTCGGCGTATTATATGATTTACGTCGTCTCGCGAATGATGAGGCACAAAATCGCCAAGCGAGTCGAGCCAAACTTTTTCGAACTCAGTTATTACGCAGATTTTAATTAAAAGGCTAGAGTAACGATTGCATAAGTGCCGATCATTTTCATTTCTCGAAAAATTCTAAAGTTGGCCACGTCGTGGAGAGCAAAAGAAATGTGTTTTTGAAGTGTCGCGATATTTTACAACTTGGAAACCACGCGATTTGAAAAAAGAAAATTACGTCCATAAAAATTAAATCACTTTTTTGTCCTTTTTCGAAGCGATCGACGCCGTGGCCATCTCGCATTTTCAGCCATTCTCTCTATCATAGCCTCTAGAATAATTAGTCTTAGGTACTTATAGGCTGCAGAGCTATATACAACAACCACCAGATCGCTGTATGTGAGTGCGTTTACGCAATTCACATTCGGTGATCTAAAATTAATACGTCCGTCGCTCGCTGCCAATCGATTCGCACGAAAAAGAAATAAATACGTAAATCGTTTAATCGAATTGCTTCATACCAGTTTTTGTTTCCCGTTAACGCGATCGATGCATAAGTCATATGTTTCCTGATCGCTTGACGCAGAGCAATCAGACAGAATGGAATGTGATCTATTGCGAATAATAGAGAGAAATTTTGATAATCGATGAAACATGTGTTATTGAAAATTTCATTTTTTATAACACGTCCATCCAGCATATACGCATTGAATACAGAGTAAATAATCCTATCGTGATTAAAAACAAAATACTATATGTATAAATGTGGCAGTTTAATTGGTTTAAAAATAATAAATGAAATATATATAACAACGTTTTGATTTAGAAATTAAAAGCAGATTTTTCCTTCATTTTTCATAGAAGTTCCAATTATTTTCGATCGCTTCGTAGATTATTCGTCGTTTGACCCAAGCTTAAATTAGATAATCGTCAACTGTCGGCGAACGACCGAGCTGAATGGCAATCAAATGCGATTAGAGAGAGAATCATGATCCATTTCCAAAATTAAATCTTGAGATAGGTAGAAATTTTAGCATAACTTGTAACAAACTATTTTCCTATACAAAATTTTAAATTAAGGTTGTGTAATCAAAAATTATGTTTGATCTGGTGTAATAATTTCTTTTATCCATATATTATAATAATTAAATACAGATATAATGTGTTCATAATATTGTAAAAAATAATAATTGGACAGTGAAAAGCATTTAATAACAAAATGACTCCCTCGGAAGCACTCAAATAGGCAATAAAATTGTATTGAATTAAATAAATAAATAAAGAGAGAGGATAAAACCTTATTTTGTGTATGAATAATTTTAATGCATTCTCAGCAGAGCCAAAGATATCATTAAACTATAAAAAATGGAAACAATTATAATAATTTGAGTATAAAATTCAATTACAATTGTTTTAATTAAAATACTAATTTGTAACAAAGAAATAAACATTAGATTTAAACGATTTATTTAGTCTTGAAAAAATGGGGAGTAAAGTAAAGTGTGCCATGGGGATAGAGATAGAGAGAGAAACAGATAATATATGAACCGAAAGTGCGACAGGAAAAGTGAAGAACAGTAAGTAGAAAAGAAAGAAGTGGTCAGACGGACAGACCGAATCCACCTCCAACCGCAACTAACAGCAGGCCAAGTTGTTAGCCAGCCCCGGGCTGCCGCGAGAGAGATTTCTCGCCGGCGCGCTGGTAAAGTGTGTGGGATCGCTTCAATTAATTAAAGTCTCGTCTCGGTGAAACTTTGCCTTTGTAAGTATCACAGGAGCGTGCAATGACTCAGGACTATTGGGATAGCTAACGAATGACTTTCGTGACCGCGCAAAACGGACGAAATTAATTTTTTAGAAATAAAAAAATGATCCTTAATCGAGAACTCTTAATAGGGTAAACTTCCTCTTTCGAAACGATTTAAGCATATCTGAGATACGAAAATCGATGAAACAGTTTGAACTTTGAGTTTCTGATACGCGGTTTTAGATGGCCGCGAAGCGTAAATGATGGCTCGTTAACGGGAAGTGACACTAGAAATCGATGGGAACATTGATGACTCGACGAGTTAAACTTGGATTTCGACGGTTTCTCTCTAGCGATCATTTTCAATTTACTGCTCGTCCCTCCATGAGTACCGGGCATCAATTCGTAATGGACGCTTATTGTTTCAACGGTTTGCTATAACGCGGTTTGTGTGTCCAATGCAGTCAAATTTATTCGCAATTAGACGTATCGCGTTTTGTTAACGAGTTATTTCCGCGAGGATATATATCTTAGCATGCGCTGTGAAATCTCTTTGGAATTTATACAGTACATAATGTAATTAATATCGCGTAGATTATGCATTTTAAAATAATACCGATTCTCAGATTGATAACAAAAAGATTGATAATCTAAATTTTTGGAATAACATTTTGTGAATAATCTTTAATTATACGATGTATCTTTAAAATTTTGTTACATACTCTCTACCGCCTTTGTTACTACTCTTGCATATAATAACTGCCCATGTAAATGTTGGCCACAGGATTTTCATCATGATAGGCCGCAAATATTTTCTCAGCCTCATTCGAAGCGCCCAAGACACATAAATCGTCGCCCGAAATTACATCGTCGATTTTCCGATAAATATGTCATGGACCGTTAAATCATTTAACTTATGTGCTCCCATTATCGACTGGAAAAATTTATAGGGACATTGGCGGAAGAACGGCTTATCGAAGCAGCTGCGCGAGATCTAACTGACGTCTCGTATGGCGTCCGATACCATATTCCGAAAACAATCCCACCGCCAAATTGTCGACGAAACAACCATCCGGCCGATGATTTACGCGCTTGCCGCCGTGAATCGACTTTACTTTTGAAGCTCGCGCTCGCTATCGAATAGAAACTACTGTCGCGTTCCTCCATTGTTAAAAATAACACATTCCAATATCTGTTTTTAATTATTATCTAATCATTTTGCCTTTTTCTAAACAAGCATTTTTTGAAAATTGCAAGTCATTTGAAAATATTGTATAAGTATGCTCGTTTTTAAATTAAATTATATAAAGTCTTGTAGAGAAAGAGAAAGAAAGAAAAAGCTAATCATTTATTTTAAATTTTATCAATTGTAAATTCCTTTATATTGTCCGGATACAAGTCAATATCATTTTTTATCTCCGATGCTTTGAAGGTCCTAATGTTTTACCCTCGCCATTCCATCGAAATGAGAAACGCAGGCCCTTTGCCATCGCGAATAGGGAGCGGATTATCTCGTAGCGATGCATCCCACGAGTACTTGTATAAAGAACGAGTCCTGTGAGTATCAGAATTTTGAAGACGTCGGTCCCAATCCTGTTAGAGAAGTTGGAGTGTAAATAAGATAACGATACGGAGGGGTCCAGCGTTCGCGCGATGTGGTTCCATTTTGCAACGGGCTCCGGGGAACGGTTACGCGCCGGTCCCTCCAAAGGGAAAAGGCGCTTTCTTCGCAAAACCGTAAAGCGAATCTCGAGTATCCCGCCCGATACTTTCAGGCGTTACCGTCAAATTTAAGCCGTCGTTAACCCGCGGGGTTGAGAGAACCTCGGTACCGGCGCGCGCGGATCGTAAAATCCGTTTCGCTTGA